TATTATATAACTTATGACTCGTGCATGAATGTTATTATTGAAATGCAATGATCCAACTGCTTACAACTTATTACTCATCACTTGTGATTCATGACTTAAGAGTGATGCATGAATTAACTTTCAGAGTGTTAATGATGAAACTGTTTGAATTATGGTTTCCAAATTTACTCGTCCTCTATGTTTGAAGGATATCCGTAGTGCTAGTAATCTTCTTGATTTCATCAAATTCTAAATCCTCATCGACATTACTTTTTCATTATTTTTAATTTCATACAGGAACATTATATTTGGGTCGAAAATTGCACATACATCATCCACGTCTCGGATCCAAATCCGTGAAAAGTAATTTAACTCTACTCTTGCTTCAATTTGAGCAGATTTCAAATGATCACGTTCCCCCTGAGGAAAAAAAATATGATAGGTAGAATTTGAACCTCTGGTGTGGTGCACACTAGAACAACAACATTCTCTCTAGACGCACGATTCGCACACCAAATTAGCATCATCATGAGATGATGCCCTTTTACGCAAGATTGCAAGGCTGGGTTTAACGCTGTTACTCGGGCTAAGTATTGCGAAAAGTGCGACCCATGAAAGTCTACGCCTGTACCAAAAATCAAATCTTAAGAGTGTCATACTGTGGATTGTGGTTGATGTGAATTCTTTGTTAGGTTTGATGTTTTTGTATTCAAAACTACATTTTTCAGGATAAAATTTTCCATTTCATAATAGTCTCAGAAATCTGATAAATCAATCTTTATATATTGAAAAATACTGTAGTAATATTTTTTCTATACGATACTAGGTATTTCAAATCTGAATAATACAATTGTTTTGTTTGCGAAATCTCGTAATGCAACTTTTACGTTTGTCAAATTGGATTTTTTTCTAAATATCAAAAATTTTCAAACAATCAGTTCAAAAATTCCTTTAATGAAATGAATAAAAACACTTTGGTATAATTATCACTAGTTAATTTCATTTATACGAGTGGTTTCGGGTTTAATCCCATTATCAAGTATAAAACTGAAATATGAAATTTGAAAACTCGGTTATATCGGGGGTTTTTAGGTAAGATGGAAGGACAGGTAGTTGAACGAACCAGGGTGCCAACTTTAAAATTCATTACTGAAGGTTATAGGGGTTGTTAAACCGGTTTGGACTGTATATACTGGCTTAACAGCCTGGCCATGGGACACTCGCCGATGCGAATATTCGTGCGGTGCGAACGGCGAAGCGTCTAGCGACTGAAACAAAGACATAGGACTGCCACGCCACGCGCAACGGCGACCGGCGAAATGTACCGAGCGAATCGCGTGGGCGACTTGCGGCGCGGCCGGCGAGCAAAACAAATGCATGAATCTGTACGGCGCGAGCCACGGAGTCGAGCGGTAGTCGCGGCGAATAGTGCAGTGATCAAACGAATTTAGTTGTTTTCGCCGCGAAAAATTAACACCGAGACTTTTATTGCTGAATAAAAGACTGATTAAAAAGTTAGAAATTCATTATTCATTCTATCCTCAATTACAAGTTAGAAGTTGTTTTTGTTTTAGTTGTACGAAAAATTACTATCATATAATTTAGATTTTTGCAATAAATAACATGAATATCTGAAAGTGTTTTTATTTCATGAAATAATAATATACAAGGTAACATTTAATTAGCTAATAATATTTTGGGCAAAGATAGTTAATGTCAAAAACAATTTTTCGGCGGCACTTAAAATTCTATTCGCATTAAATTTTTTCTCCAATTCTGGTTGAATTTTCATAAGAATATAATCGAAGGTTTCAATACTCATTCTGGTATACTCAAAACATTTTTCTGGATATAATCTGTATTTCTCGTACTTCTTGTGGAATTCTCCATCTATACCCCGACTCTTATTAAAATCATGTACTCCACAATCTCTTCCAAATATTAGGTCTTGAACCAAAAAACTATTACTTTCTAAGCAATATCGAGATAATTTCGATAAAGACATTTCGCTGTCGGACTATTGGTCGCGACGGCGAACTTGACTGCCCGTGGCCTGCAAACGGTGTCGCACGAATGTCGCTCCCCGCTTCGTCGTTCGCACCGCAGATCCCCGTGGCCAAGCCGCAATCCATGGAAATTAACAAATGAATTAAAAACCAGAAATATATACCTCTAAACGAGCAACTCGGTTTATGTAGGTCTCCACTCTTGAATTTATAAGTTTAACAACCCCTATAATCTTCAGTGTTGAATTTCAAAGTTGACACCCTGGTTCGTTCAACTACCTGTCCTTCCATCTTACCTAAAAACCCCCGATATAACCAAGTTTTCAAATTTCACTTATTAGTTTTATACTTGATAATGGGGTTAAACTCGAACACTGTCGTATAAATAAAATTAACTAGTGGTAATTTGACAAAAGTGTTTTTATTCATTTCATTAAAATGATCACGAATAACCACAAAATGAACAAGTCATCAGTCACACATATTAAATTCAAAAATTATATTTAATTGCGTTTTAGTTATTCGCTTTTTTTGACAAATGTTCGACAAATAATAATGTTACTTTTCTTTCACATCATTTGAAAGCAGATAATCCAACCATAAAAAAAGCACATTTAATTAAAAAAAAAAACTTTTTTCAGTACATGTGTATTTAAGGTTTAAAATGAGGTATTTTTCAAGTTCAACTTCAATATAAAATAATGTATTGAATATGTCGATTCAAAACACTCTCAGTAAATTTAAAAGTCAGAAAGGTAAGTTTTCACTTAATATCATGAAAAATATCATCAATAAATGATACTGTGGCCAAAAAGGTGACAGTTCTTATTTTAAACTATGTTATATAGTGAAGAGTCAATAATAGATATTCTGATTATGCTCCTGGGTAAATTTATCTATTCCGTTGATATAGTTTTTTTGTTTATTGTTCGACAACAATCATTCAGTATTCAAATGTGCCTTCAATAAATGAATTTGAATAAAATAGTATGTTTTCTGGGGTTTTCTGTAGACATGATATAAAATTGATAGGTTTCATTAAGCACGACTTTACCTTTACACCGTTTATTGAAATGTAAACAAAAATCTGCAGATGTCTTGTTGATTCGGCGGCCTATGCCGGACTTATTATCACACGAGACTACCTGAATCAACAGAAACACTCTTTACGAAATTTACCCAAGCCAGATACAGGTATCAACTCATCAAACTACCTGAGAAGTCAGCTCAAATACGCCGTAATATCCAGTCATCGGAGATATTAACTCAAGATGTATAAACCTCTGAAGAAGCTAACTACTCGCGCCAGCGAAACGTCAGGAAGAAATTCCAAAAATCCACGGCTTTCAAACCTCGAAAAATATTCACACTGAAAACCTCGGCCGCGAAAGCCTTAACCATTTTGTTAAATATAATTTGTCCGGTTTATTTTATCATATGAGAATATATTTCATTGAACGTTTTTTCATGACTATCAATTCAAAGATTCTTTCTGATAATACAAGTAGGTATTCAGACTGAAAGAGCTATATTTTTAGGAAAGATAAATTTTTGAGATAAAAAGGTTTTGGCTTTCTTCTCCTCTATCTTTACACAAAAATGTGGGAATCCCCAAAAAAAAGTAATTAATTTTAAAATAATCTCTTTACAAAGATGTTTAGGTTATGCAAGGAGTAACTTTCAGACACAAACTACTTTCATATAAACAAGAAAACATTCTTTCGAAATGACACACTTTTTTAATTAACACGTTTTTATTAGCTTCACCTGTATGTATGTATGTTTGTTTGTTTGTTTGCTTGTAACTCTCAAGCTCGGGATCTTTATTTGACAGTATTATCGACATTATTGCTTGATATATTCGCGAGTAGATGGCGCTGTACGTAACCTCCTTGATATATCGATATTATTGCTTTATCTATTCGCGGGCAGATGGCGCTGTACGTAACTTTACATGTATTTCTCCATTTAGAAGGCGCGCCTGCTGCCTTATTTGTAACCCTGCTTTGCGCGCCTGCTGCCCAAAAAAAGTACATATCGTACTTTTAGATATTTCAAAGGCCTTCGACCGAGTATGGCACGAAGGCCTTATACATAAGCTAAACGCGCTCGACCTACCTCTGGGCCTGATCCGGTGGATCGGGTCTTTCCTGAGAGGCAGAACCTTTCAGGTTCCCATTGGTCCCTCTCAAGGCCAATGATCAGCCAAAAGGGTAGGGGAGCTGGTCTCCAAACCTGAACGAAATGAAGATGGATTTCGGCGCCTGCTGCCTTGGGCTTGGTAGCTGATTATCAGGCTCCCTCTCCGAAATCGGAAAATATCTATGATCATTTTTCTAAACAATATACGGCTGATTGATTGCAAAGTTTAGATAAAATAAATATAGTTTAAAAAACTAAACAACACGCTTTCAGAGAACATCGAACTAAAAAGTTAAAAAAAAATCTAGATAAGTTTAAAAAAATAACGAACGAAAAATACTAGTATTATTGTGAAAAAGCGTGGGCGCTCTGTGTCATATTTTTTGTATATCAAGCGCCCGTCGCTTTTTTCACAATAATACTAGTATTTTTCGTTCGTTATTGTTTTAAGCTTATTTAAAAAATATTTTTAACTTTTTAGTTCGATGTTCTTTAAAAGTATTTTTTAGTTTATTAAACTATATTTATTTTTTTATCTACACGCTTTCATTACCTTCACCTGCATGTATGTATGTATGTTTGTTTGTTTGTTTGCTTGTAACTCTCAATCTCGGGATTTGTATTTGATATTATTATCGACATTATTGCTTGATCTATTCGCGGGCAGATGACGCTGTAAGTAACCTCCTTGATATATCGACATTATTGCTTGAACTATTCGCGAGCAGATGGCGCTGTAAGTAACCTCCTTGATATATCGACATTATTGCTTGATCTATTCGCGGGCAGATGACGCTGTACGTAACCTCTTTGATATATCGATATTATTGCTTGATCTATTCGCGGGCAGATGGCGCTGTACGTAACCTCCTTGATATAATTCAAATACCTGTATTTCTTGATTTGAAATTTTTTTTATCAATACGCGCGCCTGCTGCCTTATTCAATTCAGGTTGTAATCCGAAAATTTGTTATGGAATTGAATCAGATATCATTCACTGGATTGGTAAGCAATATGATATATGGAAGAGTAAAATTTTCCTTACATGGAACACTGTCACCCTCAATGGTGGACATCCGAGCTTTCGGAATGAGACACTTGCCTCATTGTCTCTTCAGCATCTGGATATCATTACAAGTGGACTTTTTCTTCCAGTTTGTGTCTGAAAGTTACTCTTCCACACATGGTTTGTATAAAGATGGAGAAGTAAAAAACCGAAATCGAAAAACCGATTTTTTTATGTTATTAGGTAGCTACGCCTGACAGCCACAAGTAGTTTTCTTATGAAAATTGTAGAGAAATTATTATCAGGGTCCTTGGCCGATTACTACTAAAAATGTTCTGCTGAAATGAATACATATCAAATCAATACAACACATTCCTGATCACATGGGCGTTACATCATCACTTTAGATGTTATAAAGGTTGTTTAACGTACGAAGGTTTTTATGAAATGGAAGCATTTGCCATATCATGCTTTAGAATTTGAAGGTCATGAAACTTTCGAGTTTTTTTAGTGGTGCTTTCGGCAATGTAATAATTTAATATATACATTAAACTTCATATTTGATCCCTTTATTTAAATGTGAATGATGGTTATAGGGTAAACGGTTTTCTGAACGGAGATCATTGGTTTAAATCCAGTCAGAGGTTTCTTCTATTTTCAGAACTGCATATTATAGGTATAATAAATACAGAACAACCTGCGATAATGATTCAAAAAACCATTCCCAAACTCAGTACGCAACTTATCAAATTCAAAAAAAATGTCTATGAATAACCCTGTATAAGTTCCATCGAAAGGGAGTAGGTACTTTTTATTAGTTAGACTAATATAAATTTCATTTCAAAATAACATTTATTTTGTCAATTCGAATCAAGAGATCATTTTCCTCAATATACTATTTTTTTTATTGATTTTGAAAATGCTTTCAAACACTTTCCTTATTGAGTTGATTTATCACTATCAATTGAAACACAGTCATACGTAATTTATTTTTGAGTTCATATCATGTTGTTCATTAACTATTTACTTGATATATATAAATTTACTTCATATAAATTCATCTTACGAACTTAAGTTTTCCATAAAAGTATTGATTGCAACTTCAAAGAACTCAAAATAGAGTATGTAACTGAATGAATGTTATCTGATAATACTAGTGAAAAGCTGAAAATTATCTAAAAACAAGTTACAAAATGAACTCCTTTCCTAACATTCTAAGAACGCATACTGTTAAAATCATTACAGTGCTTACTATTAGCATTCACTTGATTTTGCGTAAGTAAAATGAAATATATCCAGGTAAGTGTTATTTATTAAAACATCATTAAAATTTTCAACATAACGAATAAGAGTTGGCAAGAATATGTATTTCAATTAAATATTTATTTTTCATGCTGGTATTCATTTCGGCTAGAGTTGTGAAGCATTCTATTTGTATATTCATTCAACGCTGTTTATTTGCCAACTCTTTTCTTTTGATACAGTATGAATGATTGTGTGGATGAATTAACATTTTTCCAAAAAAAAAAAACAAAAAATCGTTTGTTTTATTGAGGAACGTGATCATCTTCCACTGGACTTGCTGACAGACAGACGGATCTGCCTGCCCGCTGCCTACCTGGTTTTGTGAAAGTCCGGCGTCCATTCCTAACAAGGGTTTGTATGGACGTTCTCCATAATTACAATGGGTTGGAAAGTCATTTTATACTTTAAGAAAGTCAACTTTCGGTTATGCCACAAATTAAAATTTAAATAACAATTGTTGTCCTGTTTTATCAGTTGGTAAACTTCAAAGGTGACTCTCTTACTCCTCAATTTACTCCTTAATTTAAATAATTCGTGGCTTTCCTATTTTGTCATTTAGTTTTTACTCTTAATAAAATCTGTTTTCATGAATTGAAAATAAAACAAAATTCACTTATACGGAAAGGATCACATAAGAGAATATAATTGAAATAAGGAAAAAATAAACATGACTCTTCTATATGTTTCGGCGGATTGTTTCAGGAGTGATGCAAGCAACACTATCTAGTGGAGAGAAAATGGAAAGAAGGTACAGCCCCAGCTTCCGAGATGACTATAAAGAAAAAAAAGACAGGAAACGAAGGAGAGGAGAAGAGGTTTTCAAGTAAGTTCTGAAAATTTTATCAATATTTCATTCGACCGAGTTATGGATGAAGAAATGTCCTGTGCAATGAAGCTTTGCATAAAACGTATGAAATTCATTCAGATGAAACTCAACATCATAAAGGTAAAGTGAGTTTCTACTATCTAATGTTAATGCTAGCTTACACAATTTATGGATAACGCAAAGTAGGAAAAAATCATAATTTTTGAGTTAAAACTAATTAATACAGTTTATTGTATGATTTTCAATATAAAGGGTTTTACAAAAACCGCGACATGTGTTTCGCTATACAATAGCTGCCTCAAGCGTAAACTAAAAGGTACTTCTAAATTACAACCATTGTATACTTTAACCTAATATATTACCTAGTCGTATGCCTACTTTCTAATGAATGAATCTACCTGACAAGGACAAGTATGAATTCATTAACTTTATATTAAGTTATATTAAGTTTCTAAAATTTTGTCCATTTTTACGAGGTCTACTTCAAACTTCAGTTTGAAACTCTTTCAGTAAAAACTCTTTCAATTTGATCGAAATAAGTGACATTTCAATCAGTGCACTTTTGCCAACAAGTATTGATTCCGCCAGCATGATGCTCGAGTATCGAGGCAATTTTCGCCTGGTCCTGTTGGCGAAGGATCTACCGGTGAGAAAGTTATCATAGTGGTTGAAGACATAGAAATCAGTTGGTGAGAGGTCTGGGGAGTATGGTGGGTCAGGCAGAACTTCGACGCCCAATTTTTCGGACGGACGGACGTTGTCGTGGAGCAGAGTCAGACCTCTTCTGTTGTTCAGTGCCGGCTGCTGTTGACGCAATTTTCGGTACATTTCGTCGATTTTCTCACATTAGGACTCTGCTGTGATAGTTTGGCCCGGATGCAGAATGGTATAGTGAATTACACCCGCTGCTGACAACCACACGATAACAATGGTCTGTTTTTGGTGGGTTTTCGCCTCTGGAAAGCCTGAGTGGCTCATCGGTGTCCAGCCAGTGCCCGGAACGTCTCCTGTTGTCGTAAAGGATCCACTTTTTATCACGAAGAACCGTTACTAAAAGATGTCGTTTTGGTTGCGCAAAAGCAAAGAAGAACAGACCTCGAAACGTAACAATTTTTGTTAATCGTTCAAATCATGGGGCAACCAATTTCTGAACTTTCTAACCTTTCCACTACGTTTTGAACCATCAAAACCCGCATGGGAGCTGACACCCAGTTCTTCCGCCATCCTACGCACCTTTTATGATGGGTCAGTCTCCACCAGGGTCCTCAAATCCTCGTCCTGGATTGTTGTAGATCGACCACTTCGGGGCTCATCTTTGAGGTTAAAATCTCCGGAACGAAATTTCGCAAAACACCAGTGCGTTTTAACATTGCCAAATGCCTGGTTAATTGATCGGGCTGTTTCGGCAGTGCTTTAGTTCAATTCGAATTCGTAGAGATGAATTGGCCGAAAATCGGCAATATATTGAAATTTGGAAAAAAATCAACAGTATCAGTGTATAGAGTACACGATTCTCTATCGATCAGTATGAACCACGATACGGTAGAATGCATTTTTTTGAGATATGGAGCTACAAAAACACATGATATTGAAACGAACACAACTTTTGAAAAAACCCAATAGTATTTTTTAAGTTTTTCGAAAAATATTGCTCCAAGTTGTTTTAAAAAATTCTTGTCTTGCTGGAAAACTTTTGGAATTTGGAATTGAGTTGATAATAATAATATCATTTATCAGTCTATAGAAACAGTTTTTAGACATATCGATAAAATTTTCCATAATAGAGTTGAAAAAATATATTGAGTTGACTATATGGTGATACCATCGATTAAAATTTTTATAAATTAAAAGTAAAATGAATGGCACATGAATATACCTAATATACAATTAACGATAAACAAGTTCAGAAGGTTGACACGAAAGTATCTCTATTCTCTTGATCGACTTTGAAAAATTTATAAATGTTATTTTCTTCAATAAGTTTTTGAATTTTCCGATTAACATTAGGAACAAGGATTGCATTATGTACCTTACGTACATCCATATGAACGATTTTGTTCTATCGGACCGGAAACAAATTTGCTTGAGTTCACGGTTATTATTTTGAATTTCACAAATATTGGTTGTTATTTATCATAGAATTTGGCAGAGATTACATTTCTGACTGCAAATTTTTGGAATTCAAATAGTCTATCAAGATTTTCTATCGATCTTTTTTTGAGTATCTTCACCTTCCACAATCTGAAAAATATAAAAATTATATTGCAGAACGTATGGAGAACTTTATACAGATGTAGAAAGGTAGGTCTGTGAAAACACCGACATATTTTTTTGTTCTTTTAAATGCGCCTTCTATGTGATTTGTGAGAAAATGTTTTACAGCAGAAGGCGATCTCTGTATTGTTGAAGAATGCAAAATTTATTTATATTTTGTTTTTCAAATTACATGTTCAAAATCCTCGGCAGTATCGCTATCTGTCGGAAATTTTTTGGCTCGGACAGAATGCCTTTTTTAAGAATTGGCAGGATTTTACAAATTTTAAATTGTTGAAGAAAGTAGTATAACCCAGACACGTATTGATGATATGTATTTCAATGGTTAAGTAATACATTCATTTGCTCTCTTATTAATTAAACCATTCAATCCATGTATGTCCTCTGTTTTTTTTTGTTCTTAAGTTTGGTTATCATGATTTTACTTCATCTGTCGTTACGGACGTGACTTATTTGTATCTTTTTTTAATTTAGATTAATATAATAGGGTCAACGTCAGATACGTTTGATACGAAACAGTCATCTTAAACGTATTCACTTTCGCCCATAACACACATTCAAATAAACACGCAGAAAAAAATAACGGTAAAAATGTGTCCCTCGTTGGAATAACTTATTGGTTTAATATTCTTGCAATTACCATACAAGGTAGTAAAATATTTACAATGACAGGATGAGTTTTCCTAATAAAACGCTTTTTTTACATAAATGAGTGGTGTTATGAAGTGGTATCATAGAGAACTGATTGAACGATACAGATAATTATAATCGTTTTGACATATGTGAAAACTCTAAGTAATGGTTTCAAAAGAATTATTTCTGAATCGAAAAGATTCATCATAAATATATTATTGCGAATACTCGTAGAATTCATCTCATCTGTCATATCCTCCCACTTTGAAAAAAAAAACATTCGATTTTTTGCACTTTTTGAAATTGGGGAATGAATCATTTGTCGATAAACTGATGAAATAAAGAAAGCTACTGAAGACCTCATAATGTATCTAGAGATACAGTAAGGAATATGTCACAGAGAAAGATAACATCAACAGTTTTAATGGAGATGCTTAACAAATTGTCCAATTTTTTTTTCAGAATGCGAGTTCACCACACAGGCAGTCCAAAAGATGTTCTCAAAAGTATAGCACAGGCAGACAATACCAACAAACAGTACTATCTCATGTTGGAGAATATCACGTCGAATTATAACCGTCCCTGCATACTAGACCTGAAAATGGGTACAAGGCAACACGGAGATGATGCATCAGCAGATAAAAGAAGAAAACAAATGGCAAAGTGCGCAGCTAGCACTTCTGCATCTTTGGGAGTAAGGTTATGTGGAATGCAGGTTTATGATGAAGAAAGGGACCTTTACCACAAAAGAGATAAATATTGGGGTCGTGAATTGGACAAAGACGGTTTCAAAGAGGCCCTCTGCAGATTTTTTGACAATGGTAGTGGAATTCGGGTGTCTGTTATTCGTAAAGTTATTGCAAAATTGGAGAAGTTGAGGAGGGTCATAGAGAAACAAAGTTGCTATAGATTTTATTCATGGTAAATATATCATCTAACATTATCTATTTCCACATTCATTTTTTATGAATATACAGAGTGATTTTCGAAAGGATTCAATTAACTTTTTGGAAAACTACATAGAACAGTGTTTTTTGAAATTGTGTCCCCACAAGAAATTCCCCATTGCCAAAAGCAATTAAATTGGTGGCAACTAGGCTACTTTAAATGCAATTACCTATAGTATCTCATATTTCGGAAGACCACCCACCATAAGATAAGGTTCACTTTTCTGATATCTTATGGATATTCGTGAAAGGATATCCGTCAACTATGGGCATCCACTTAATATTCAAGGATATTTCTGTTTCAACGTGAATTGTATTATATAACAGTAACAATTCTGCTGGCTATGTCTATTGAAAATATTTGTCAAATCGAAATAGTTTCTTCTTCTCTGCTGGGTTGCTCTGGTAGGTAAAGTTATTCTGAGTAATAATGATCTAGTTGCTCTAATACAGATCCTGTTATCTATATCAATCAATAATTCTTGACATATCCCACTATTTGTCTACAATAAAGAATGGTGGGACTACATATTTTCGTCCATAAGTTTGTTACATTTGCCTCAAGCAAATAAAGATATGATATGGAGAAAAATGTTAACAAAATAATAGCTGAAAGCAATGGGTTTCCTTCAAATGGGTCTATGATTTATAATAAAATAAATATTTCGAAATGAAATGAAACATTCATCCCCAACATACCTACAGAGCAGGTTCTGGTAAATTCCTGCCGGGAAACAACTACTTCCCTGGCTAACGGCACTATGGACATTGAATTATATCCGACAGACATTTTTACAACATTTCTCGATAATCCAGCAGCAAGGCCATGCTGTAATAAATCAAGTATATCATCTGAAGACCGGTTTCGAGGTATTATCCTCGTCAGTGCAGAAAATATCTGAAAACAAGCAGTAACGTGCCTGGGACTCGACTGACTCCTACAGTTTGATTACATATGTGAAACCTTCTTCTGAGAGAAAGATATGTTAACTAGTAACAGCTCCAACTTGTGAACAAAGCCCCAAAAGCGAGGAAGAAATATTTCCCGTACCAATACTCTAACAAAAATCAAAACAATTCTGAAGACTGTATCGACACAGTCTTTATACTGAACTGTCAGTATGTCTCTGATTAAATATAATAATAGTGGACCTAAATAAATTCCTGAATATGCCTCTGTGTCTTTTTAAATCACATTTTATCAAAGTGAAATACAAAGTAAGTTTATGAACGAATGTTATTCAGAAAGAGCTAGTGTGCCTTATAGTGTGAAGGTGATGTTTGGGTTCCCAAAGTATATCAAGCAATGTGTTCAACCAAAGAAACCCTTGTTCAGTGCCGTATTTAAGCAAAGGCAACATAGGCAGTTGCCTATGGGCCGCCATAAGAGGGCCGCCACCATACCACAAAAAAAATTAAATTAAATCGATAAAAGCTCTGTAGAAACAAAAAAATACTGAGTTTTGTTACAAATAGTTAAACGAAAAACTCCCTTCAGTATTGCAACGAGGAACTATTCGATAAAAAAATCAGCCCCGCAATTTTATGCCTAGTCTGGAAAAACAAGTATATATACAAGTAAATTCAAGAAAAGCTTTTTTATTCGAAGAACAAAAAACGGCGAGGCTCTAAAACGCCGGTAGTTACGTTTTTCTACAAGCAAAGGGCATCTTCTGTTTTGTACGCAAACTTTTCTCACCCGTACGGTCACAGTTTACTCATGAGGGCTTTTGTGATTGGAGAAATGCCGTCGTCGATTAATTGAACATGAAATCTAGAAAAATCATCCAAAGGCTTCAATCGATTATAGTGGGCGATCCCAACTAATCAGTCGCATAGATCGAAAACTGTCAGAGCAAATGGAAAAAAGTATTAAATATTGGCGAGAAGTTCTTAAAAGAGTATTGCGAGTCATAGATTTTCTTAGCGAATGGGGATTGGCATTTAGAAAGGACAACGGACAACGAAACTTTCGGATCTCCTAATAACGGCAACTACCTTGGAATATTAGAACTTTTAGCTGATTACGATGTTTTTTTTAAAAACGTTTAGAAGAACATAGCAACCGCGGAAGTGGTCACACAAACTACTTGTCATCCACGATTTGTGAGGAACTGCTAGAAATTTTAGGAAAATACGTTTTAAAAAAATTTTGATCGAGAGAAAACATTCGTGGACAGTCGTACGACAATGCTTCTGCAATAAGTGGCAGATATAATCGCCTACAATCATTAATACAAAAAAAATAGCCTAGTAGCTTGGGTGCCGTGTGTCACTTAATCTTGTCATACAATCGGCAGCCAATTGTTAACTCAGAGCAATAAGTTTCTTTGATTTTTTAGAAGAGCTATATGTATATTTTACTGCTTCAACTAACAGGTACAATACAGTTAGTGGCTGTTTAAGAGAAGCAAAAAACTGACCAACCTATTCTTGTGTCGAAAAGAAGGACAACTCGCTGGTCATGTCAAGTTGAAGCCACTAAAGCACTCTTGGGAGGCTATAAAGGTTTTATAAATGCCCTCGATGAAATTATCGAGGACGAAGAAGACATGGTGGTATGGCAAAGTTAGAAACAGCTATATATACAGTTTTTTGGGATGATATTTTGGGACATATAAACAAAGTCAGCGAAAGCCTACAAAATCCTAGGTTAGACTTGAACACTGCTGCAGCACTGCAGTGTGCTTAATTCAGTTGTCACCCTCGGACAAATTTAGAACTCAAAGCTACCTCCCAGTTGTCGACCAGCTCGTGACCGCTCTTCAGAAGAGAATGGACGCGTACTCACTTCTAAATGCACGATTTGGATTTTTGAAAAATTTAACAACTATTTCTGATCAAGAAATTTTGTCTGCCAACCAAAAAAAATTCTGTTTTTCCGTTAACCAGCTGTCGCACCCCTACGAACGACTACCTTCAGAAGACGATACTTGTGCGAGCTAAGGATTAACGAGGCCTTACCTTTTAACGTGTGATTCTTAACAGGGGTTGGACAATAAGTGAAAATCGATCATTCAGACTAGGGCTTGAACCACCCACCAACATGGCAGTCAATTGGAGTGAGCGAACAAAGCACCCACGTCGAACCGCCTGTCTACCAACCGCTACTTGGTGAAAACCTACTGTGACGACGTAAATGATACTTTTGGCAACGAATTTATACATTTCAAACTATTTATAGTTCACTTTGAATAATTTGAACAAAAGAGAAGAGGAGAGATTAGCTATGAGAGATGGATGTATGAATTGTGTAAAAACAATGTTAAAAAGTGCTTTCCCAACGTTGAGGTAATTCTGAGAATTTATCTCACACTACTGGTGACAAATTGTACGGCTGAAAGATCCTTTATAAAAAGTAAACTCCGAAGTCCCATGACCGAGGACAGAAGAAATATTTTGGCTCTCCTTAGTTTAGAGATCGACGTTTTGAGTGAAACAGACTTCGACGATACTATCGATACGTTCCTTAATGTGAAAATCAGACGAAAAATAATTTAGCTTGTAGGTACCTCTAGTTTAATTTTGAATAAATTTTATGTTAGACAATTCATTCACATTCTCCCTTTAACTTGACCTCAATAGAAACTTTCAACAGTTAACCACAAACAATTTGAGGGCCTCCACCACATGCTCTGCCTAGACATCATCAAAGGCGATGAGGTAATGTTGAAGTGCTCGAGTTATTCCTAATGAAGAAACTACAATTCTGGAATTTGTTTCTGGTTTTATATTATCATAGGTGGGCTTGGCTTCGTTTCTCCTAATCGAATTACCTGACCCTGCTTGTGTACTATAAAGAACAGGAAGCTAGATCTCATTAATGAGAATCGCTTCTTTCTTTTCATCGATATAATCCCTGTTTCTGAAGTTCTATTGCCTAAGTTCTAATGTATTTTCGAAAGAGACAATGTTTTTGCCTTCTTCGAGAGCATGTTCAGCTACAGCTGATTTGTCTGTTTGTCCGAGGCGACAATTTCTCTTGCGTTCAAAGAGAGACAGTTTACGTCTACCTATGATAATATGAAGCCGGAGACAAATTCCAGCATTGCAGTTTCAACAACTCGAGCACTTCGGCCGTTATTTCATCGCCTTTAATAATGTCTACCGCAGTGCTTGACGAAATGTCAGATATAAAAACATGCAGACCACGATTAAAAAACCCGGAAAATATCTTTGACATAGTTATCTACGTTCGTGAAAGTTTACATTATTTAATTCAAAATATGTTTGACACGGTGGCATTTCAACATAAACATGTAAATAACCACTCAGTTGCACCAAGATCTGTTTTCAATAGACTTTCCTCAGACTTGATTGAGACCTACTCTTCATGTAGGAACCACACAGGGACTGATGATGCCCAAATGTAGTGGAAATCACGCTAGTTAATTTCACTCATGAAATTTACATTTTTGTTACTACAATATAAACATCTATTGACTTATCATTTCCATCACATTAAGTTAACTTGTATTCTCCTCCATAGAGAGATCGTATTATGGAAACTCCTGCTGAGGAAAAGAAATTCTCAGATCCCCTTGATTATTTCAATTTTAGATAGTCATATTCTTGAAATTAAAAAATACATTGTATATAATAACCAATGTCACTTTTTCAATTGTTTTAGAAAAAATTATTGATAGTTTGAAAGACATTTATTTGTGAGGGACTCAAGACATTTTGCTAATTTTTTGGGTACATAACCTTGGACAATCTGAAAAATAAATCAGTAGAAAATTTGCTGGAGTATAATAAAGGTCAAACTGAAAAGTTTACCTCGAAAAGTTACTGCTGAAGTTACACTTGTCGACTTTCAGAAAAACAATCTTTTCGTTTTCAGAACCTGAAATTTAATTTGATACTTTATGTCATAAGAATTAAAGCTATTCAAAATTTGAGGCGAAAGTTTTGAAGTGAATGTCAGGTTTTGAAAACGAAAAAAGATTGTTTTCTGTCGAACACTAAAGAAAGTTAAGTATAAATATTTTTGTTCAACTTATTTTTTCAATTTGTAGACAAAACAAGTTATTGAGTAATTGGACTCTTCAGTGGTTTACTTCAGTTTGCCCTTTATCATACTTCAGCTGATTCTCTATTGATTTAGCTCTATTTATTCTCAAGATAGTGGAAAGCTATATACCCCAAAAAACAGTAAGAAATATCGATTATTGTTTGAAGTGTAATAATTACTCTGTGTTTGATCATCTATTAGTTGGTTGTCCTATACAGGGTGTAACTAAATAAGTGTAAAACATTGAAGGAGGTGATTCCTCACCGAAAAAAAGATAGGATCTTTCATATAAAGAAATTTTATTGGAGCATCCCTTGTTAAGATACTGCCCCTCAAAGGGGGTACATACAATTGGTATAATAATGTTTTTCGCAAGCACTAAAAAAGTTACAATATTAAAATTAACCTGACGTTTTGTACTACCAAAAAGACACTTAGCCAGAAATTTATTTGGTTCACCCCATGGTTGTAAGGGGTGGAAAACGCAACCCCTAAAATTTATTTCCAATGTAACTTTTTGTCTTATTATTTGTTTACGATTTAAACATTTATTTCCGATAGCCTGTTTCATTCTAAACAAAAAATGTATCTTGGGTTTTTTGCCCAAAATAAACCAGTTCGCAGCAAAAAATTATTTACAGAGATACATCGTCATAAATACGAAACTAATCTATCTAGTAGTAGTGACAATTAAATTGGTATGACGCGGTCAGTTTGTGAATTTTCGAAATTGAATTAATACTAATTGTGTGTTGTTGTTCTGTTATTGATTTGTTACTTTAATAATTCACTTGTTATTAAAATGGCATACACAAATGAGGAAATGGCTGATATGCATTAAGTTTACGATCTTTCGCAGGGGAATGGGTTAGAAGCTTCTAGAAGATATGCTGAAATGTATCCTCAACGGCAGCATCCTTCACATAGAGTATTTGCTCGACTTCATCAACGATTACGAGAATATGGTTCTTTCGACAAAAGAACGCAGGATTGTGGTCGTCATCGAGAAGTACGAACACCAGAGCTTGAGGAAGCAGTACTTAATTTGATTGAAGAACAACCTACTACCAGTACTAGAAATATTGCTTTCTAGCTAAATGTTGATCATATGACGGTATTTCAAATTTTAAAAGAACAACTCTCATACCCTTACCGACCTCAAGACTTTCCGAACCGTCTTGAATTCTGCAATTGGATGCTGGAAATGATAAGAAATTGTGACTTTCTGAAGACGATAGAATTCACAGACGAATGTAGTTTTTCTCGGGACAAGATTATTAATTTTCATAATTACCACATATGGGCTGATGAAAACCCTCACGCTATTGTCGAAACTAACCATCAAGAACAGTTTTCTCTTAACGTGTGGCTCGGAATTATTGGGGATGATTTAATTCTGCCTCATTTTCTTAAATTTTAGGGGTTGCGTTTTTCACCCCTTACAACCATGGGGTAAACCAAATAAATTACTGGCTAAGTGTCTTTTTGGTAGTACAAAACGTCAGGTTAATTTCAATATTGTAACTTTTTCAGTGCTTGTGAAAAAAATTGTTATACAAATTTTATGTACCTCCTTTAAGGGGCTGTATCTTAACAAGAGATGCTCCAATGAAGTTTCGTTATATGAAAGATCCTATCTTTTTTGCGATGAGGAATCACCTCCTTAAATGGTTTACACTTATTCAGTTACACCCGTATATTATATTGTATGTTGAATAGAAATTTCTTAGGTTAATGAAATAGATAGTTTCTCAAAATTAGATTATTCACCATATGTACTAGTACTAGTACTCATAAGATGTATTCTTTTTTGCAGTTCTTTACTCATCGTCTATGAAGGTAGTAGTGGATCACCTCATGTGTCTATAACTAAAGCCGAACCTTTCTGTTCGAGCAGATTGAAACCTTTCTGCAATGATGATTGTACTCAAACCTCTGAGGATAACAGTAGGGACGTTCACTACTGTTATGAGGCTGACATTTCAAATTCATCAATGGACTCTAGCCATGAAGAAGTGTCTCAAGACTCCCACCATCGCGGATTCGGAGAAGCCGCTGCACGAGGGGCAAAGCTGAATTCGTTCGTTCCAATATCAGAAGAAACGGTGTTTTTGAATTCCCCTCCATCTCCTGTGAATATTCCATCGAGTCCTTTATCTATGGATAGTTGGACTACCTTTTCAAATAGTAGTAGTGGAGAATATTCATTACCTGGACAATCTAGTAGTTCTAGTTCAAATGATGAAAATTCTGATTCAGACTCACCTTCTCCTCCTAAAAGCAGGAGAAGCAGTGAAAAACAATTCGCGAACCTAAAATTGAAGGATGAGAATGACGAAGATCTACTTTTAGGTCTGAAACATAAACGACTGTGTGTTGAGGAACAATGTTCTTCATTTTCTGCTCCAACCCTAGAAGTTGATGTGAGAATCATTGATTTTGCACATACTTCATTTGCTAGACAGAGTGATCCAAAGACGAAGAATACTCATCAAGGTCCTGATGGAGGTTTCTTAACAGGTTTGGATAGTTTACAACGTATTTTGTTGGAAATTATATCTTCTGACAATTAATATATTGAGCAATTTCCAATTTTTTTTTCCTGAATAATTTTGTACAACTCGAACAAATTCAATAAACTGTTATTTTTTTCATTTAAAGATAATTTTCAGTCAGAAGCTTTTGTGACATTGGTGTAAATTAAATATTTTTCATTTCTGTGAATAATATAAAACGTATTCACCATGTTCCTCATGGAATATATTTTCATTATAATTAAAATTATTGTCGCCCGTTTTGAAAGTGTTTCAGATATTTTTCTATGGACCTTTCTGAAAATTCTTCATACAGTTTTAGAAAGTATTAATTTCTAGTTTAGCTATTCATAAGTAACTTGTAAATCAACAAAGTTGGCATATTTTACATTTCAAAACGTCTTTTACGTCAATCTGTCGAGGAAGTTTAAAAACGAATCGAAACTAAGAAAAATCGAAAATAAAGGTGATTTTTTTCAGTTCTGTGGACGGATCTAGATTTTGGCCTCCAAAATGTATGTGTGCAAATGTTAACTTTTTTGGTAGTGAAAGTTATAAAATATGACAATTTACTGATGAATTTGTTCAATTGTTTCGAATACTATCCATTTTTATCACACCAAACCATGAACAGATAGAAATAAAATTAGAATAGCACTAATTCAGTTAAATTCATCAAAATTATCTATTGGATAGTTTTTTATTTTCCAATATTTACCTACCAGCTGTTCTCAGTTATATTTATAAAAGTGTTTATTATGAAGATAAAGTAAAATGTATTCATTCTATTGTTTAAAATTAACAGAAACAGATTTTTCAATAATTTGAAAGTAATGTTTTTGAGTGAACGGATATAATTTCAAAACATTCCATTACCATTATGCAATTAGTTTGAAAATTTTGAAATATAGGTATCATTTATTCAGGAAAGTATTGAATCAATAACAGACTGTATGTTCATCTTGCTGTGAAACATTTTCTGAATCAACCATACAGTCTCATGAAGAATAAATTGAATTACACCTTAGTCTTCCTTGTTTTTGGTCGTATCATCGTTACCTAAAGTAGAATTTTGGATTAATTCAGTTTTTATTGTTTGTCACCATGAATGAGGAAAACCTGTAATCCTTGCAACCTGCAGAAGATATTGATGTTCACGAATGTAAACTTAAGCTTCAGCAAAATATATTTCTAGAATGATAAAGAATGAAAAAAAAAATGAAAATTTTTTTTCTTCATAAAAAAGCGAAATAAATGTCTGCTTTCATAATTCTAGTTGTTCCAACAAAAGAAACTATTTTCCAATGAAAAACTCTTCAGTAGGAAATTAGTTGAATAACTAAAAATTGTTTTTTTTTTTTCGTAAGAAGTGAGAACAACTTCTCTTCTGTTTGTAAAATGTACTGGAAAGACTTTTATTTATATAAATTCAATAAAAAAAAGGCACTTCTCCCAATCACCAGGACTGTAATATTTTTTTCCTGTTTCACTAACCAAGTTGACGTCTTTAGTTCTATTTATCCCCTGAAGACTCCAATTAGGTTGGCGAAACGCGCGTCAAGAAGAGTATTGCAGTTCTGCCTCTTGAAAATATTGCTTGTTTTGGATTCATTCTACACCAGAGGTTCAAGTTTTACTTTTATATGAATTACATGAAAAACAATTCCATTTTATAATCCCAATTGTAGATTTAAATCTTTTCTCCTGAACCATCAAGTACTCTTTGGATATGTTCCACTTTATGTTCAAATTTTTTTCTATGAAATAACAATTTTCAATAGTCTATTGCTAGTCTACCTCTTATGTATAGAACTGCATTTTTTATTGACGTTATTTGGCAACCAAGTCTTTCTCATGTGTAAACAATTTGATCAAATGTTATGAGGTGTTTATAGAAAATTAGGATTCATTTTGTTTTAAAATGTTATGTGATGTTGAAATAATGGCTTCAGAATACATTTGATTAAACTGCTTGTACTTGGACCACAGTCTTAGGAACCCATTTATGTGATAGATGTACCCACTATTGGACTACTTTGTATATTAATAAATTTTATTTATTTGACAGAAATCTGTAAAGAAAAATATTTAGATATTCTGAGTGACTGCATTTGTTGAATTATCAAGAATATTTGGAACTTGATACTTTATCCTATTATTAGTATATAATGTTTTTTGATGAGTTGAACTCTTCAGTGAAGATATCTGTAAAGCTTTCACTGATTCTCCAGTGGAGGTTTCTATCATAACTTTTTTCAATTTAAAATGCGAAGTTAGTTGTCAGATGTGGACATTTTCCAGATAAATGTTATTTATTATGTAATTTAAAAAATTGTCAGTATTTTTTATTAAAGATACCGTGTTAAGTTCCTTTCATCTTGTATTTTTTTAAAATAAAATATTAAAATTAATGACTTTCATTTTCCCACTATTATTAGAAATGTGTTGGCTAGAAAATTTCAAAGATATATTGCAATAGTGCATCCTAAATGTATGTATATATTGAACAACCGAAGAATGAGTATTGAATAATGGATCAGTATTTTTTTCGTGTAATATACAAAATGAAAATTGAAAATATGAATAAACAAAATAAGGTGCAATTGAAAAAAGTTATAGTCAAACAGAAAGACTATAATAGAAAATTTCTAAAAAGACCTCTCAAAAATGTCGACTTTTCATTGAATAATTCAATTGATACCAGTCAAGATACAGAATATTCAAAATATAGAACCCAGTGTCAAATAAACGAACTATATGCATCCTCACTTATATGCTTTATTCAGAAAAGCCTATCATTATTACGCAAGAAGTTTGATGATCATAAAATGTTGTTTTTGTTTGGAAAGAGTTCTTGAATGTTTCTAGATGAACAGTTTAACAACATAGGTATGAAAATAAATGACTAACAACATGAACAGACCCGGTAATAATGAATATGATATCATTAAATTTTTGCATAAATTAGAAACATATTGTTTTAGGAATATTGCTTTGAGATGGTTTCGATCATACTTGTCAGGCCGTACCCAAATAGTCTTTGTTAATAATGAGACTTCCAAATCCCACATCAAGGTTCTTCTTGACCCACTGTCGTTCCCGATGTACATAAATGACTTAACTGACTTGACAATTACTGTTTGATGGTGACATTACAATAGTATGGCATTCAAGGAAAAAATGATGAAACTCGGTGATAATATTAGATATAGGTACTTGATATACTTGAAATAGGCTATTTTTCAATACCACAAATAAAATTATGCTAGGACGTTTGACAAATTTTCATTTGATGATTGAATTTATTAACCCTATATCATTTACACTTCGACTGATTTCATTGGCATCTCCTTACTTATTGAAGGATCTGCATTATACAATATTTTTAATATGTAGCCATATATAAAAGTTCATACGAAACAAATTGTGGGAACGTGGTGGATAGGCAATCCACCTATCATAAAATAATTGATCGGGTAATAGGCCTGAATCTGGCAGTAATGAGGCGGTGCTCCATCCTGTTGGTACCAAATATTTTCCACATCTCGATTGATAAATTATTCACTGCAATTCTCACAATATTTTGTAATATGTAATTATAAAGCACAATATTGTGCTTTAGAGCACAATGAACGTTAAAACTCCAACTTCCTTGGAAATATCGGTCATCGCCCCAAAAATGAGTATTATGATGATTAAATAACCCACAATAAAGTGTTTCTTGATCTTGAATACGTAATGGATTTTTCAGCTGAGGCTAAATTATACTTTATGGGATAATCTCGGATTTTCGCGATATTTCTGAGGTCAGGTTAGATTTTGGGAAAAAATAGTTTTTACAAAATTAAATATTCGAAAATACGTTCCTTGTGGAATTCGGAGATCAGGTTAGATACTTTGATAGGCGATATCTCGAAAAATAATCGAGCCGAACTAAAAAAAAAAAAATCAGTGCTACGATCTTAGTTCGGGTTTGAAGGCCGTCGTGGTTTGGAACTGTATCCTAACGTTTCGCCAGGACGAACGGATGGCTTCTTCAGAGGTCTATTCATCATGATGGTTCACCGATGACTCGTGATTTCTAGTTCGTAAGCTGTATTTTGTTGACACAGGTATCCCGCCTTTCTAGTTTGCCTAGTTATTGGCCGGAGTGTTATTACCTGTTACTTTGCGATGCACTGCTGCCACCTTAGCATATTTGGCCGAAGTGTTATTACCTGTTACATTGTGTTGCACTGCTGCCACCTTAGCATCTTTTAGATAACGCTCTACCAAATCCGGTAGAGCGTTATAGTCTCCTTTTTTCTGTTGTAGTTTTCTGTATGTTTATGGATTTCTATGGCTTCCCGTACAAGCCGACTGTGGTATCCATGATCGGGTGCAAGTAGTTTCACATTTTCAAACAGTATCGTATGCAGTAACGGCTCATGCATTGGAGAACAGGGGAGGCTAAAGTCATAAAGACTATATACAAACAGAAAAGCCCGCCGGAGGCACGCAAATTTTTATGTTGTTGCACGCTTTGCCTAATACTAAAGTTAGGGCAAGGGCATGACAATGCGTAAAAAGTGCATGAGGAGCTATGGACTTTATTTTAGTTTGTAAACCATTTAAATGGCCGGCCATGACCCCATCATAGGTTGCGCAATTAACTTTTGCCTAAAATTATAGGTGTCACATTTACGAATTAAAAAATTAAACAAATCGTCATCTATGCGCCCAGATGAAACATCATGAAAACCCATAAAACGTTCTACCACATTACCATCTTTGACATATCTGAAAACGATTGAAAGTTGTGATGTACAGGTAATATAGGTGGTTTCATCAATTTCCCATGCAGAAAAGAAACACTTTCAATCTCCTTGCTTATATTTTCCTTAATAATATATACCACACTGTCTATAAGCTCATTTTGGATGGTTTTTGAGGTGCCCGAAAAAACGCTACTGTTTAAAAAAGTGCCAAATTGTGAATCATTAAACATTAAAAATTCCTTGTAATTACCGCGATTGATTGAATCTTCGGTTTCATCGTGTCCACTAAAAGCTGATTCTTGAGAACCCAAATAAATCGTAATATCGATGTCTTTTTGAATTCGATCGATTTTCCCTAACCTGATTAATAAAAGAAATTATGGCCTCTTTTTGTGCTGTATCTAAAGCTGTTGCTTTGTTTTGTTTGCTAAACAATTTTAATTTACAAGACGAAAATATATGCTCCTTAGATTTAAAATTTCTTTCTGTAGAGAGAGGTGAATTCTTTAAATCGGAGTATCCTATTTTAGATCACGTTTGGTATTCGGTTTGTACGGAAAATAAAACATAGGGCCAACAAAAAAGTTTTTCTCGTTTAATGGAGCCGGTTAACCAATCGCATTTGTCGTACCAACTAATATTAAATCCTGGATTTTGTCAATTATCTGACTCTTTAATTGAAATCAAATTTGGTTGAGGCCTTCCCAGAGTTTTAATGATGTAAAATTTATTATCATAAGGTAAAGACTTGAAATTATTTGTCAGCAACCAATCGACTATTATATCATCAATTTTTTTTAAATTTCGTCCAACTTATCCATAATAAATAGAAAAAAAAAACTTACCGAAAAGTGAAAACCTGAAAACACCTTGAAATTGAAAGAAAACACTTTGAAAACTCATTTAAAATATTACCAAAAAGCACTGCTATAATACAATACTGCCTGTTTTATACACAAATAACAAATATTATCAAGAAACACTAAAACGATTTACCGAAATATTTTTCAGGCCCGGTCCGTCACGGCATCCCGTCCGAATAATTAAATAAAAAACAAACGCAGTAGTACACTAACGAATACCAACTGGAGGCTAGCCTCCTCTAACGCTATAATTTCTGCAACTGAAATTACAAATTAGGACGTATGTCGTAGATCTTTTAAATCTTTCTTAAAAAAATTTTTTTTAATCTTTTTTTCCGTTAATCAGCAGATTGGATCGGTCTCTCGGAGCTTGTGTTGTTTAAAGCTGTCGGAGGCTTGGCTCCCTTGCAGCGTATGGCATTTATTATTTCGGTTTTTTAATGCAAATCAAAGTTAGATTTGAAGATTTACTTAAATTAAACTACTTTGATTTGTTGTTGTTGGAAAAATTTTCGTCTTATACCAAAGATTTTCCCCAAAAACTTTATAACTACTTAATAGCTCAGTATCCATTTTTCGATGTTATTCAACTGAAAAATGAATAAATCGTAATGAACGGCGACCCTCAAATGTTTCAAAATTACAAGTCTCCTTCAGATTTATTAAATTTTATGTTTAAAAATGAAAAAAGAAATGAGAGATTGCATGCCTGAGTTATATAAACTTATCAGTGTCTATAACTGTGACAATCAGCGTCAGTTGAGAGAAATTATTCAGCATTGAAAATAATTAAATCCTTTAGTGACTCAAAATAGATTAAGTAATATATCTCTTCTTTCAATTGAAAAAGAGTATATGAAAGAAGTGACAGGCAACCCTCGATTTTATGACGAAGTAATTGACTACTTTGCCAATTTTAAAAATAGAAGGATTCCTCTTATATTTAAAGCAGAGTAGGTAATTCAAAAAGTCTGTATGCACATTTTATATATAAAAAATGAATATCTCCAGAACGCTTCATTTTTGGTATAGGATGTATTGAAAATATACTAACCCAAAAATGTGAAAATGTATAGGGATATGAATTAGGGATATTGGTACCGGCTTCCGGTATAAACAAGTGTTGAAAAAATGCCATTATTTTCATTCGATAAATAGATTGAAAAAACTGTATTTGACAATTTTCAAGATAATATGAATTCTATTATTTCCCAAAATACGGCTAACCGACCCTGTTTATATCATGTTAAAATGTTGAATATTTTTGAATTTTAAAAATGAAGACAAATTATTATTCCGAATACCAAACGTGATCTAAAATAGGATACTCCGATTTAAAGAATTCACCTCTCTCTACAGAAAGACATTTTAAATCTAAGGAGCATATATTTTCGTCTTGTAAATTAAAATTGTTTAGCAAACAAAATATAGCAACAGCTTTAGATATAGCTCAAAAAAAAACCATAATTTCTTTTTATAATCAGGTAAGGAAAAATCAGTCGAATTTAAAAAGAGTTATCGATATTACGATTTATTTGGGTTCCCAAGAATTAGCTTTTCGCGGACACGATAAAACTGAAGATTCGAATAATCGCGGCAATTACAAGGAACTTTGAATGTTATGGGGCTAATATGATTCACAATTTGGCACTTTTTTGAACAGTAGTGTTTTTTCGGGCACCTCAAAAACCATCCAAAATGAGCTTATAGACAGTGTGGCATATATTATTAAGGAAAATATGAGCAAGGAGATTGAAAGTGTTTTTTTTGCATGGGAAATTGATGAAACTA